AACCGATTTTTTTTCCAATTAGAGTAAAACTATAAATTAAAATATGAACAAATTTTTCACTTCCGATTTGACCAAAAATAAATACACATTTTTTAAATAAAATAGAACAGCCGGTATATATTTTTATTGTTGGTGCACAGGCTGTATGTACAAAATGGAAACATGGAAAAATACATTTCATCCAAATAATAAGAAAAGTAATATGCAATAAAATACGGGGTCAAAATCTTTTTTCAACATCCCTTTTATACAAATGCAAATACATTTCATATACAGACCACATTCATTTGTGTGCAACAGCGTTGTTTGAAAAAGGTTATATCTGATCGTTTACGATAAGGAGTATTTATCAGGCAAAAAGTTAATTAATTTGAAAGAAATTCACATCTGGTTCTCATAACGCGGAGTGTTTCGAAGACGTGCATATGGGAGAAGTGGGGGACGTTTGGCGCGTTCCGTCGCGATTAACAATTTATCCTTAAATACTCGAGACAACTAGAAAACGAGGCTGCTGGTTTCGTGACGGTTAAAGAGTGTTCACGATATCAGTGGTAATTGATGATGTTTTCCTTCGAGATGTTGGTTTCCATCTTGGCACTGCACAAGCAATGGCACGAAACAAGCACAAACACCTGCACCTCTGCGTAAGCCACCTGCGGAATTTTCTCCGTCCGTAGAAATTTTACGTAATTAACATAGTATGTGATATGTTGTGTAATCTACATACGTCATTCGGACGTTTTGTTCGGTTTCAGCACCTACAGTAATGTTGGGTCATCCTGTATGTTGGTCGCTGATTTAGAATGAACGCCACTTCGATCATGTTATTCGAATTTGAGGTCAATGTGTTTGGAATTAGATAGATAGATAGAGTTTGTTTAAATAATCGCTTTGTATATTTTATTGTAATGTTGAATTACGTGTGAAACTGTAAATATCTGCATTGTGTTATTCTAAAGTTTATCTCCGGGCATTGCGATAAGTTTTTTATCGCTACGTTGAGCTAATTAATTTTGAAGATAAGCAGGTTTCGTCGATATGAAAACACAGGTGTTTAATTTCGTTGGTCAACGCATGAATTTTGATAAAAGAGTATAAGGCATAAGGTGTAGAAGGGGAGACTGGTTAAATAGCAGAAGACGTGAATCGCGACTTATTTGGTGGTGAACGTTATCGTTGCTTTTTGTTTCATGGGCACTTTTAGTGTATGACAGTTTGCCGTAATCGAATTTGTTTTTGAAAGACAGCCAGTCCTGTTTAATTGAAAAGTTGCAATAGAAGAAAGTTAGATAGTGAACTGAAGCGTTCGTCTCCGCCGCTTATGAAAAAGTTAGTCGGAGTGTCTATCGCGCGTTTATGGCTTATGTGAGGCCTTTCTTTAAGGTTTTCAAGTCACTCGTTGAATGGAACTTTTGAACCATCATTGAACCATTTGTAATTCACATAAAGCAAGTGCCGTTTAAATCGAGATTCAAGTACAATCAAAGAAGTGAACTTCCGAAGTATGTATCATCATTTGCGGTTTGTGTGTATGTGCGCCTGTCTAAAATCGCTGTTATAGCCAGATTATTATTAACACCTTAAGGTAATTAAGATTTTTTTTCAATTAATTTTTCAATCTATTGCTTGTTGCGTGGTATTTGGCTGTTGGCCCTGAGCGCCATTATTTTTTCAGATTTATTTTTGTTTGATTTATAATTGAATAAATTTGTTTCATCTGTAAATGCAAATTACGACCCACGATATAAGAGTTCTCATGCCAAATTCTCTGTTGGTAGGTTGGTACCCAGGGTTATGCCAGGTGTTTAAATAATCATTTTAAATTCGGTTATTTAGAATTGTGCATTTAGTATAGAAGATTTTGTTAGTACCTGTCTTTAATTGAACTATTATTAACAACTTACGGTAATTAAGATTTTTTTTCAATTGATTTGTTCAATCTATCGCTTGTTGCGTGGTATTTGCCTGTTGACCCTGAGCGCCATTATTTTTTCAGCTTTATTTTTGTTTGATTTATAAGTGAATAAATTTGTTTCATCTGTAAACGTGTAGCTTTGTATATGTATACGAGCTCAAATTACGACCCAGGATATAAGAGTTCTCATGCCAAATTCTCTGTTGGTAGGTGGTACCCCAGGGTTATGCCAGGTGTTTAAATAATCATTCGGTTATTTGCAATTGCGCATTTAGTATAAAAGATTTTGTTAGTACCTGTGTTTAATTGAAATAGCTGGACAGGTGCTTGTGGATGGTTTAGTGACCGTTTGCCATTGCACATAGCAAAATACGCAGGGTGACCATTATGTATAGAGTACAGCATATATCTCGGTAAATTTAAAAAAGCTCTTTATATCAATAACATTAATCTAGATATCCTACATCAAAATAAAACAAATGAACGTGTATGTTTCTTATTAAACCTTGAAGACAAAACGAAATTAGCAATAAAATAGTTCTCTTCCCAATAAGTGCATTAACTGTAAGGCAATGGCCTAACCTTTCACGAAAAGCTTGAAGTGTGATTACTGATTTCGTTTTGTGTTTAAGGTTTAATAACAAACCTACACGTTCGTTTATTTTATTTTGATATAGGATATGAAGATTAATTTACATGACGTAATTAATTAATAAAGTTTTTAATTTTTTTTGAAAAATGGTCTTGCATAAGGGCAACATGTTACGTCATTGAAAAGAGGAAAAAAGGTCTCTGTTAAATGAGCCTAATGAAAGAGTACGTTGCTATTAAAAAAATTCAATTGTTTTTCGTTACTCATTCACTTCATGTTTTCTGAAATAAACATAATTGAATGCTGCCTTAGTATGGGAAATAAAATGGTAAATAACTTTTATATAGAAAATTTTTGTGTACAATCGTTATTTACCGAGATATATATTATATTCCATACATAATGGGCAACTTTGCATAATCTATTTTTTTCATTTTTCGACATAAATAGAAAACCCGGTTTTTCTGTTACCTACTTAATTCGGTTTTCACACAATTTGATGGAAACATACCTTTTTGTGTCCCAACGAAGTAGTAACTTATTCATTATTAAAATATTTATTTTTACATTTTAATTTCATGGTCAACCTAAAAAGGGGCCTCGTCTTCAACGGAAAATGCTGATGTCAAAGAATAAATTTTTTTTAATGTCTACTTTCAAATAGTGTTAACAAAAATTGCTTATATGGCGTTTTTAAGCCGCCGATCTACGAAAACGAAATTAATAAAAATGGCTAAAGGGTACCGGTCCGTAATTAAGCGTTTTCAACAAAAAAATTGCGGGAGAAATTTTCCACGATTTTAGTACAAAGTTCACATAATTTCACCTTTCTTAAGGTTATTTTATTGTATGTTTCATGATTACTTTTAATAAATGTTGAAAAAGTTAAAAAATGTAGATGTATAACCATATGTGTTTCTAATTACCTAAACCATAATAACCATAATAGCAGTAAGTAGATTTACATAATTCGTTCCCAGATGAATTACAGATGAGCAGCACTTTTAGATATGTACCAATTGGGAACACGACAGGTACATTTTAACTCGTTTTAGTAAGAAATCAAAAGAAGGAGATTTAACCGAGCTTAAAATACTAACAACGTATACGTACTTTTGAAGGTGTTCTAGTGCAACTTTACTGCATTTAACTCTTTCAATCCTGTAAGTATGAGTAGATGAGCAATGTACGTACGGGACCAGGAAGTGACGTCACACCAATCAGAATCGAGTATTTCGGTCACGTGGTCACGTGTGAGCCAATCAGAATGCAGTATCGGCCATTTTGTCTACGTCACATTTTGGCTGTTTTGCGTCCGGGGGGATCTAGACCAGGAAACGCGTCACACCAATCAGAATCGAGTATTTCGGTCGGCCATTTTGTCTACGTCACATTTTGGGTTGGATCAGGAAACGTGTCACACCAATCAGAATGCAGTATCGGCCATTTTGTCTACGTCACATTTTTGGGTTGGATCAGGAAACGCGTCACACCAATCGGAATGCAGTATCGGCCATTTTATTTACGGCGTCACACCAATCAGAATGCAGTATCGGCCATTTTGTTTACGTCATATCTAGGTTTCCCGCGTTTATTTCTGGACCAGGAAACGCATACTGCTGATTAGGATATCCTGTTTACAACACCGGACGCTGCTTCCTGTTGACGTGAACGGATGTTGCTTCCTGTTCCCGCCATTTACGTTTCCTGCTGATTAGAATTTACCGGATGCTGCTTCCTGCCGATAATCGGATGTTGCTTCCTGTTCCCGCCATTTACGTTTCCTGCTGATTAGAATTTACCGGATGCTGCTTCCTGTTGACGTGACCGGACGCTGTTTCCTGCTGATTAGAATTTACCGGATGTAAGTTTCCTGTTAACATGAACGGATGCCCGTCGATACATGAATTACGAATCTACCGCTTTAGTCAACTGAGCTAAAAGGGGCGCGCGATTGCAGGGGCGTAGAGGGTGGCGTTAGATACTCACATATGAGCTGCAGCTAACCCTACCTGCTATAGGTATAGAGTAACAGCGTGCGAAATTTAGTTGTTATTATAATTAGAATGGGAAGCTGCAATCTCGCGATAGTGTTTATTTATAGCAGCTATGATAAGACGCTTAAAGGTGTAATAACCATTTTATTTTAATTAATATAATAAATATCTACATATACAAAATGCTAGAAATTATGAAGCTACAAAGTTTTTTGTGTGCGCTCCGCCATAATACAATCTCTACAATAAATCATTAACGGCGCTGGACCATCGATGTGGGTGCGCTGCCATGGTTGATTCCAGTGTTTTGTACATCGTATTCGATTCCGCAGCTCACAATCTCTTTGAAATACGGTTGGAATCTTGATCCATATTTTCAATAAGTCATTTACACTTAAACTTAACAATTCGCTCTTCGTCTCAATATAATTAGACTCCTTTTGAGCCTCTCGCCTAGCGATGTTGTAAAGTATGCGATCCATTATCGTTCGATATGAGGACCGAAATGAACATTAGCATCCCCGTTTTATACCTACACCTTTAAGATACACTGCGCATGATGGATTTCTTCAAATCCCCTCCAAAAGTACTTTCAAGAGCAGGTATAAGAGTAATAAGAAAGTAAAAAATCGATTTATATCGAGATGAGTGCACAAATACAGCAACAATCGCAAGATTCGTGGGGTAGCGAAGATGATGCAAAGTCATCGCTTTCGCTGGATAAATTATCGGTGAATGAATCCTCGAAAGAGGAGCAAGGTATGCATTGAATAACGCCGATTATTGTGGAAGCAAAAGATGTATGTTTATAGGAAAGGAAACCTTAATATCTTCGTGGTCGTTATTCTTAGACGGAGGCATTATTCTCGAAGTTGGCGTTACACTGGACGAGTACTTTTTCGATTCCATCGTGCAAATATCATGTCCTCCGCATTATGATGACCAGTATTTACAATTTGAGCGTTGCGAATGGAAAGAAATATTCAATTTTAAAACTGAACACTTAATTAAACATATGGTGCAGTGTACGCCTAAAAGAAGGAGCAAGCATGAAATTTTTACCGAGTCCAAAATAATAATACTTGAAGCGGAAGAAGAAGAAGACGGAGGATGTATTCGAATAAGCGAATCAGATAAATCTATAATATTTTCCAAGCAAGCAATCGATATGATATTTATCGCTTCCGAAGTAATTACTCAAAAATTGGATGTTGCCAACCACTATGCGATGTATTGTCTTTATGATGACTTTACGCGTGAGGTTGCAAAAATTCTACATACCGAAGGTGTTACTAGCGAAGAGAGCATGTTATCGAGAGGGAAATTGATATGCCAAAATCTCAAATTGTTAACATCGCTAAGCAGTTGGAAGGAAAAGTATGATAATTTGCAAGACTTGACTCTTCTAACAGAAATTGTAAACATTCACCCTCGAAAATTTATAAATACGGTTGTTAGTAAAATTAGCATGTTAAAATAAATAATTTTTTAACATAAAAATGCTTTTTATTTATTCATAGGTATGGATACACATCAACTTTTTATCCACCTAATGCCGCATATACAATTCAATATGTTTATCAAACTTTAAAAGTTTAGCTAATACATTATATAATTGCTCCAATACGCCTTTATTAGCACAATGAATATTGAATAAGGATAGATCAATGTCACCTGATTGAATTACACGACCTGTATATTCACTATATTTATGAAATTTATTTCCGGTGATAAAGTATAGGTATCCATCCATGTATTTGAATATAGAAGTTATCTTAGCCGGAATATCCGGAAAGGTTTCCGCATATATTAAGCGATTTTTAGGCCGATGACTACAATCATCCAAATCTAGCAGTTCATTTGCACCATGATAAATAAGCGTGCGTCCGGTATAGGTGTTAACTGCAGCATTCACTTTATGGCTGTTGGGAATTGTGAAGCGGCTATAAGGTTGAGGCCATCCTGGTAGCAGTTGCAGACTAGGGAATTGCACTATGTATATGCGACCGCCACTAAAGAAGACAACATCACCGTTAGGCTTTTGATATACCGCTTCCAAACTTTTAAAAGATGCCGGAAGAAACGTTAACCACTCAAGCAGATTCTTGGCAGGTTCCACTTTGCTGCTGTTTAACGCAGATATCCAAACCCAATGTTCATAAAACATATAAAGTCGTTTGTTTAGAATCAAAAAGTGTTCGATTTGAATGGTACACAGGTCAGGTGGTTTAATGGTCTTGAGAGTAGGTGTAGTTGTCTTAATACCCGTTGAAAGATGATAAGTTTTATTCTCTGGTGAAGGGGTACCAGCAGTATCACTAGGATATAGTGCTCGGATTCCAGCTATATCATCCTCATGTAGCGTGATCATATTTGAATTGTAATAAGGAAACATGAGTGCATTTTCATCGCTCGAATGGTGTAATCCGAGAGTATGACCTATTTCGTGTAAGACAACTTGGAAATAACTAGAATAACCGGGGGGAGGTGCATTTGCATCTGCTACATGCCAGCGTTCTTCCCAATCTATATGCATTTCAACAACATTCTGATCTCTGGAGGGAAAGTATGCATGGGCTAATACATTGCCCAATCCATCAAACTCGAATGCACATTGCGGATATGGTGGTGAAGCGAACTCATGCTTTCGGGTATGAAATGATATTAATATGTCTGGGTTCCTTGAGCTATATTTGAATTTCAAATTTGTGTGGTTCGCCCAAACTTGAAATGCTTTATCCGTCATCTGTAAAATGTGCAGGTCATGCATATTGGAAATATAGTAAATCAAAGTCTGTTTTGTCCATTTATACCGATGAGTCATATACGCTGCTGGGTCATCAATATTTCCGCATCTAGGTCGAGACATGAGTTGTAATGTTTCGGCATTTAATCTGCCATCACTAGGTAGTTTATAGAGTTCTTGAAATTTCTTTAAAGCGTTAACGGTGATATTTGTACGATTATCTTGAGTTGATTCACCTTCACCAGGCTCCTTTATATATCCATATTTGGTGAGATGACTATATGCCATATCGATTTCACGCTCACTGATTGTATCGCTGCCGTCGTCAACATTATCAGCAGCAGCAGCAGCAGCATTAGCACTAATACAGAAAAACCAGCTCAGTACGACAACTGCAGCTTGCATGATTGTAAAATCTATACTGATTCAAAATTTTCTTTTGGAGGACTAATAAGGATGTGGTAGTGGGGGAATATATTGAAATGAATTAAAAATTAGGTTATAAATACTCAATCCTCTCTCAACGACATAATGGTGCAGACTGTAATCGATGTACAAGGCTTTAAAACATCAAGAAACGTATTTATACCAAAAGAACTGGCGATTTATAATGGCAAGCAGGTTGCTCATTTTATGTTCAGGCCTCCATTTCCGTGGAATAGCTTATCTACCGATTTACAACGGCAAGCTACCTGGCTAATTCATAACCATCACGGAATTAAATGGGAGCATGGTCATACGCCATCCTACATGTTTCCAATTATACTTCGCCAGTTAATATCATCATCAGACCAAGTATACGTTAAAGGAAAAGAAAAAGCCGATTTCATTCGAAAAACTCTATCGCAAAATGTCACCGAGGTGGAAGAAGAACCAGCTCTACCTAAATTAGAAGCATGTTGCTACTATCATGTGCGCTCACTTTGTTGTTGCGCATTATCTAACGTTTATTATATTTATAATACGCATGTAATTCAGTAATTTTTTTTAAATAAAACAACCAAAATCAATCAATCATTTTTTTACTTTATTGCAATTGATACATCTTAATACGATTACATAATATGGGCTCCAAAACAGCTGCAATGCGTTCTATTTTACATTTGAAGCGGTACCTATCTAATGCGACAGTTTCCCACGGACCCTTTCTTGCTTCTCTGTGAGCATAGGACCACACTCGCAAGATATAAATTTTATTTTTTGATTCGTCAAAACTGACACTCTTCATTTATATAAAGTTTAATTACACTTTTACGTGACCTATATTTAAGTTTTGCGTACGATGCCAGTAAACGGTTCATACTCGATTAATGCATCATGTAAAATAACGCAGTAAGCGATAGTTTCATTTGCAAATGCAGATGATGCTTCAACTTCCAGCTTCAAATCGATCACCACGTTATGGACGCTCTCGTTTTGACGGGTGCAATTGATAATGAAGATAGGCTGCTTTTCGAACTCTTTGTAGCTAAGAAGGGAGCTCTCCTGCGACGAGTCGTAATATTGATTACGAAAGTTTAAATATTCTTCGTAAGCATCCACATACTTGTTATCGGTAAAAACCAGATTTTGCTGCTCATACGGATATCTTCGGTTGTTAATGTTTGCTTTTATATTGGAAATGCTTAAATGGTTAAACTCGCTCGCATCTGCTTCTTTGTTATTTCGCTTCCTAGTTTGGAACGCAATCAGTAGCCATTGAGGCCGTTGAAAACCGGTGCTGCTTTTTACCGACCAAACCAATGATCTGGTGCTGGGTAAGGTTGGGTATACGTAAAGGTCGCGCGCATGAAACGCCACTTGTATCGGCGAATTCTTGTTAATCCTCCCGTAGATCGATAACTTCATAGCATCGTTAGGAATTATGTACGGAACTTTCCATGTTACCTTCGTAAGATTAATCTTAACTTCAGTCTCGCCTTTATAGCAATCACTATCGTCCTTGGAACGAATTAATATCAGTTCTTGACGGATGTTGACTAGAGGCTTCCTGTATCCTTCGGCAAACCCGAGTACATGCTTTAGAGGTATGGAAGCGCAGAAAGCCGTCTTCGTGCTATTTAGTATCTGAGGAGACCCGGAAGGGCTCCAACCTGCATGCGATAAGCATCTGCTTTGATCTGATGTGTATGAGCAAAACCCCTTGATGGTGCTGTTTATTCCGGGTAATCGAACAGTTTCTATCACCTGATCACCCAAAATAAACCTAATTTCGTCGAAGAGAAAGAGCGGCGCGTTGTTGGTGAAATCGTAAGCTTTATTTGCGGTAGTCGGATTCAGCGTTCCTTCTAAATATATAACGCTATCGTAGGTGGCCGTGATGAGATCCGCTTTCTGTATGACGAGATTAATCTCATCGGAGTTACCATAAGCGTTTGTCGTATAAGGATGGTATGTTCTGCGATCGCATTCCACGATCATGTCTTCATACTTTACGCCCGTGAATAGGTTTTTTAATGCTTCTTCCATCTTTTCTTAGTACTGTATAGCCGAGATATTGCAAAAACTGTACGTCGTCTTCGGTTAATGCACCGCGAGCAATTGTTGCGTCGATGGCCGACGATGGATGACTAAATGAAGAACCTTGCTTACAGAAAATTTTAAGTCCCATATTTTTTCAGCTCCAATCGAATAGTCACTCTTTCTTCGCCGAAATCTACTAAATGACCGTCTTGATCGACTAACCTCAAGGTTATGTTATCTATTTGATGCGCGAGTACCGGTAAATATATAATCGTAGCCGGCTCCTTGATTAACTTATAGCCCGGCTCAACGTGTACGTCAAATTCAAAGATTGTATGAGATAGCGCACTGTTTCTGTATGCTCCACCCGTTAGATTACACTCGACGTGTATATTAGTAGCGTTGATTATTTGCACGTCCAGATCAGATTCATGGGTTCTACCTCCTTTATACAATTTAGGAGAGAAACCGAGCATGCGACCGATGGAGTTCGATTTCCTAAAGTCAATATCGTGTATGGTT